AAAAAAAATATGATGTACAAATTACAGTTGTATATTATCAAAAAGGTAATGCAAGCAGTTTAAACTTGTTAAGAGCCATGAGTAATTAAACTTGTACAAGATGCACCATATGTGTTTCTACGTTATATGTTTCTTAACATGATGAATATGTTTCATATAAAAATGAACATATCAAATTATAAGATTAAGATGTCATGTTATAAAATGAGTAAGTTTTATTATCAACTGAATATGTTAATTATGAGATGAACGTGTTTCTTAACACGATGTAATGTTCAGATTTTGTACAAGGTGAATATGTTTCTTAACATGATCAAGCTGAGTAATATTTTAATTATTAAGACTTAAAATACTTGAACTTTGTCTTTAAATAATTAATTAAAAAATATCATGATATTTTAAATATTATCACATTACTCGAGTCACTGATTTTCAAGATGGCCGCTAAATAAATAGTCATAATTAAAATTTCAATGTATTAAATATTTTTTTAATTCATTTTTTACCATAAAATAAGCCCATGTATTTCAGGATAGCAAATATTTTCGGATTCCATTTTTATTTTATTTAATTCAATTTTGACACCTATTAAGGTGTGCTAGGCCATAGACGTGTAATAACATGGAGAAGGAGATTTACAAAATTTTGTCTCCAATGGTGAATGTCAATTTTAGTATACTTTGACATGTGTAATATAATAATTGGTTGGGAATGACATATATATTTAATAAATAATAAAAAATTTAATAGAGGATGTCTAAGTAATTCTAGACATAGAAAGACTTCTAGACATTTTGAATGCCACATAAGATTAATAATGCCACATGGCAATAAAAAGGAGCAATCCATGGACCATTGGAGATGCTCTAAGTGGCAATGGAATATACCAATGTCTGTACCATTGTAGATGCTGTTTGTAGTAAAGTAAAGATTGATGTGAAACACACCTGTACAAACATGGATCACTGACATAAATTATGCTGACACTATCCTTAATGTTATCAAAAATATTCAATATATATCAACCAATCATTCTTACACGACATCTATACATATATAAAGAGGAGCAATAAAGCATTAAATTATATTATCATGCATTAAATGTTATTCTTATGCATTAAATTTATTCTCCCTCCAAAATTTTCAGCATTCAATTTAATTTTTAAGTTACAAAATAACTTGTTTGAATGCCATAAATTATGAGTATAAACCAATCAATGGAGTTACAAAATTGTATTCAAATTTTAAATGACACTCACTGATGAAAATGACAGGGTATATTAGCATAAAGAAAATGATTGTAACGGCTCTTCCCACTACAAAAAAATTGTTATATTCCAACGGAAAATTTTACGGTAATATATTCCAATGGAAATTCCAACGGATATTCCAATAGTATAGCTTCCGTTGGAATCATTCCAATGAAAATATTCCATTGTAATGTGTTTTTCATTGGAATTTTAGATGAAATTTGATAATTCCAACGGCTTTTTACCGTAGGAATTTCTGTTGGAATATGCGATTTCCGTTGGAATTTTTATTTCCACCCCCGTTGGAAAATCTACCGTTGGAATCGTCAAAATCCAACGGAAATTCCAATAGAAAACTCATTCCAACGGAATATTTTTGTTGGAATTTCCGTTGGAATAATTCCAACGGGAAATAATAATAGCATTAAAATATCCGTTGAAATTCCCGTTGGAATTTTATTGAATTATATTTCCGTTGGAATTTCACCAATTTCTTGTAGTGTCCATAGCAATTACTTGATCAAAATCAATTTTGAGAATTATTTTCTTAATTCATTTTTTTTTTCATGTATTAAATTTTGATCTTTTTATATTGTTATCTTTTTAAAGTATTCTTTTATGTGCAAATGCACAGGTTGATTACTAGTAGACATCAAAATTCAAAGATATACCCGCATTTGATTGTTTACAAGTTAATTTACTCACATTTATTTCCTACTCAAAATCTAACTAAACTTTAACTGAATTCCACTATCTTTAATAATAATTAAATAATACAAACCAATCATCTATTATAATAAAAAGAGGGAACCTAAATAATACATAAATAGTAACTAAAAAATAATTCGTATTCCCACTAAAAAATATACTAGATATAGTACCTTTCTTTTTGAAATTTTTCATTTGCCGGTTTAAGTGGATCCTTTGATTTATTAAAAAATTTTCATTTCATGTGCCGGTTTAATTTTCCTATTTAAGTTGATGTTTTGATTTGAAAATTTTTTAGCTAATTTGATTGCTAAACTTGATATTCATCTTTCCGATTTTCATGAGGCCGATTTTGTGGACACTCCACATGATAGACATTAAGATTTTTTTAAATTTCTTTTGAAATTTTTCATTTGCCAGTTTAAGTGGTTTCTTTGATTTTTTTAAAAATTTTCATTTCATGTGGCATGTTAAAATACATAAAATAATGATTGAGTGTACCTAAAATTCTCATGAAAGTGGATGCTTTGATTTGCCGGTTCAAATTTTCCTATTTAAGTGGATGCTTTGATTTGAATTTTTTTCCTAAAATGAAAAATCTCTTTTTGTTTTGGTTGTTAATGAGATAGATATATACTCCTTGTCTAATGGAATGTGAAAATATGGATTTTTACTCCTTATCAAAATGTATGAATCATCCATTATTTAATATGATATTTATTAAATAACATACCCTTTTAAGTTTTATTGAATTTTATTCAAATTCATATATTTATTAAAACAATACTCTTTTAAGTAAAAAAAATTACGTGCATAATTTTTTTTTAATTCAAATTAAATTTGACATCACGATTTCATTTTTATTATTCATAAATAACGATGTAGTCGGGCGACTAAATCATATATATTTATTTCATCACATTTGTATAAAAATCTAATTTCATTGTGTTATATAATAAAATATTGTGATATATGAAATGAGTGTGCTATTTATTTTATTTTATGTAGGTAACGTGACTCAAGAATAACATTGAACAATTGAGTTGCTTTTTGACATGTTTTTCAAGAATAATTTAGGAAAATTTTGGTGAATCTTCACACATAATATAGAACATTTTAGGTACTTTTAGACATGATATATAACATTTTAGGTACTTTTAGTGTTTTAGATAGGCATGTTTGATGTTTTATATGTTTTTAGTCAAAATAATTTCAATTAGCTTCAATTAATTAATAATGGTTAGCATTTGTTAATTTCCAATAAATTCATAATCTATATATATTGAAAAAGAGAGGTCAATAAATCAAATGAGGAAAGTTTAAAAAAAATGTCAGTCAATCAAGTTGACTTACTAAATATGGCAACCATTTTAAAACATCCAAAAATTCTTTAATGGCCGAATATATGAAATCGTTTTTTTATGAAATCAATTGTGAGGATTTTTAGGAAATCTGTTATGCATGTATTCCTTTTTTTTTGGCAGTAAATAACAATTCACACGCTGACATAAGGTTTTATTTTTTACTACAATTCTGTTACAGATTTTGTGGAATCCGTGGATATTTAGGTAACATATCACAAGCCAATTATTTAGGTAACATAACATATCACAAACCATTTTATCGGTACGAGGTGGGAACACGATTCCATAATACGTTGTGGAATTATTATCATTTTTTTGTTCACAAAAAGCAAAACCCAAAAAGAATTTTATCCAAGAAAAGGAAAAGAATAAAGATTTTTTAAGTTTTTCTCATCAGCTTTCAATGTCAATCACCATCTTCACAACCACATTTTTCTCCTTTGATTCCGTACAAAGGCAACTCCATTAGCCCAGAGCTGTTTTTCTATATCTGTTTTCTTTTTTTTTTTCTCTTCCTTTTCCTTGGAAAATCCCGGAGAAAATAGTTGGGGAAATTAGGGAGGTTGAAGAGCAAAATAGAAAAGGGGTTTTGAAATTTTATCTGCAGCAAAAGTGGAGCTTGGCGATTTGTTTGATCCGATATCTATCTGCATCGTGGATATACACAGGTTCTCACATTGATTATGCGGATTTTAGGGTTTTGAATCAGGTAGGAGAAATAAAGATTTTTTTTTTTTCATTGCGTGTTGTATATTCCCCTTTTGGTATAAACTATTCTGAATCCGCGTTTTTTTGACCAATGTAGGATTTGTGGGGTTTGGAATTGAAATGCGAGGAACAATTTTTTTTCTTGACTTACATTGAAAATCAAATTCGTCTGGCAGTAGCAAAATTTGATATTTTGGATGGATTGCACAATTGTACTTGATTCTCATTTAACTTGCAGCTGAGGGTTTATACTTCTTATTACCTTTCCAATTGCTTTGCAGGTCGTCATCTAATTCTTGAAATGCTGTGCAGTTTTGTATAAAGTTTATTCTAGATCTGCTTACATGTATTACAGATGTTATTACGACATTTAGTGGCTCCTATAGTTGCCTGCCTCTATGGAATGATCCCTCCACAAAGCGCTGAATATGTAACCCATAAAAATAACTGAAAAAAAAAAAACTGGAGAACTGGAAAGCTATGCAGTGTATTTTATTTATCTAAACAAAGTTGGACATTCAAATGATACGAATCTGGCTGGGTTATCTTTTGGCTTTTGTAATTTGAAATCATTGTGGTGTGTGGTTGTGTTTGCTAATTATTTTAAACTGTTGACTAAATTATTCGGCTTATCCTTCTTCAGATCTTAGTTTTTTTTGTTCCTCCTAGAGATTATAGGCTGACTTGTGCCTTGCTCCCTGCTTTGTAATTGTGTTTATTACCTTTCAAATTTATTTTCATCTCATATTTTTTTTATAAATGAGCTTTATTTGAATAATGAAATTTTAGTTCTGTATGAATTGTTGAATTTTACAGGCACTTGTCAAATTTGTAATGGATCCACAGTCAGATACTCATTTGAGCGAAAGTGGGGAGTTGGGTGGTTTAAGTGAAGTTCGCAATGGCAGCGTTTCTGGGAGGATAGAAGCTTTTAATTGTCTTGCTGGAGGTAAAATCCATCTATTATCTTTCCTTTATATTGAATTTTAAAATTGTTCTTCTCTCTCTCTGTCTCTTGAAAAAATTTGAAAAAATTAGCCAAAATTTTGCATAAAAAATCTGCAAAAAATATTATCCTAATTTATTTTTAGGAAACATGCACGTATAAAATAGAATATATTACGTTTAAAAAATTCATCATTATCACAACTTAATATATTCAGGTATTATAGATTCAACACAAACTTGCACAATTTTTAAACTATTAATTAGTAAATATACATAAGTATTTTTCAAAAAAAAAAAAAAACGACATGTAAAATCAAGTAAAAATATTACAATGTGTTTACATATTGGAATGTTTCTTATTCAGATATGGATGAAAACGTGTATGGTATTGGTAAGATATGACATTTAGAAGATTCAATAATATGGTATCTTATATATTCAACTCAAATGTTGCACAATTTTGTTACCTATTATTTAGGAAATATACACGTTAACACTTTAAACAAATAACATTTAAACGACATTAAATATCACTATTATTAAAATATCTGAATATTTCATATTTTATTTTTTTGTCAAGTTCGTTTATTTCTTAAGAAGTCAATTTTTAGTCATGAACAGTTATACGTTGTTGTCTCCCGTGTCACCAACCGAAGTGGTTTATAAATATTACTCTGCGAAGACGATCATTCACCACCAAATCAAAACAAAAATGTTGTGCACAAGAAAGTCTTCAATAATTTATGATTTTTTAATTTGAATGTGACACGTTTACTTTTGTTATATATATAACATGCCTATTAAATTTAATATTATTTTAATTATTCCGGTAAAATATATCACCCCGTATGCACTCAAGTTTATGTATTTTTACGGTTGTGTTAATTATTTTTACTACTAATATTAGCTAAACAGAAACTGGCATTTTTAAGCTTGCAGAGACTTTTGATTTCCAGCTTCTTATGTGATTCATACATTTGGGCCAATATACAATGTGGAAGAGAACCCTCAAGCCTCTTTGAGAAATGCCTACAGGTACAAGTAGACGAACTTTCTATGGCCCTTTTTGTTTATCCATTAAGTTTAGTTATTGGTCCAAGCTCATCTTGCTTGGTTGGACATGATGCAGAAACGGTTTAAGCGTGGCAAGAGAACACAACATCCAGTACATTGCATTTACTGCTATCTCATGTAGGGGTGCATGGGTATGTTGTTGATTATCATTTACTGAAGTTTATGGTTGTTATTTCTTGCAGTAATTTATATTTATCTGTTAAAATAAATAGTAATCAATAACTATCAACTCAAATGAAGTTTGTGTCTAATGCACAATATCTTTATTTAATGATCAGCTACATCCTTTTGATTGTATTCTTTATACTCGACAGAAGCTTCCTTCTGTAATTAAATTATTGAAATCCTTTACTACGCCTTTTTATTTAGCATTTTGCTATTGAGAAATTCATATATTTTGTACTATCGTGCAAAGTTTCAATGCTAGCTATTTAACACAGCCGACTTCTAATGCATATATGTAACCCCTTGGATGACGTGCTTGGTCATATAAAGAAATATGGTATCTGGAAGTAGGAATACAAATACTACTTTACTTGGTGTTGATGTTTGAATGATGTTAATTTGCTATTTTAAATTAAATTATTATGTTTAGTTCATGGTCTGTGGTTGCAGGTATCTTTATGATGAAGTTGCAGCTTACGCCTTATCTATAATCAAGGAATTTGCAGAGGGCTTTGAAAAGGTAACTTTTCTTTTAGACCACTTTTATTAGTTATATTTGAATCTAATTTTTTTTGGAACATTTGTGTTTCTTTTTTAGAATATTTTATGGAATGTCTTCTGAGCGAAGGAATTTGAGAATGAAAGTAAGATTTGCTCTATCTTTCATGTTGAATACTTTTAACTGAAAATGCCATTATTGTGAGTATTTTTTTAATGACTGAATTTCCGTTAAAAGCTTAAATTAGAAAAAAAATATAACAATATCGATGTATACTGTGGAGTTATATTTTTCTGGAGAGAAGGAATGCTATTTTGTGATCTCTTTTTCACAAATTTGCCAGTCGACATTAATAATTATCGTCTAATGACTTGCTTTGTGTACTTCTTATTCCATCTTAATTATGATTTTGTTTCCCTTATATATATAAATTATTGATTCATGTTCTCTATCACATAAAAGAGATTTAACGTTCATGCCAACATTAATACTTGCATTTTAGAAAATTTGCCGCATTTCAGTAATGTGGGTATGATTGTTAGTGTTTAGTCCGGCCCTCTTAGAATTTGAGATGTCAGCCTCATAATTGTTTCATTTTGTGAAGGGATGAGAATGATACCAAGAGAGAAGAAAATTTTTTAATCATGGAGAAGAACAGAACTAAAAAGGAAAATGAGAGGAAGCAACTGGATAGGTAAATTTAGAAGGAAAAGTTAAAAGTGAATGCAACTTTGGAATTTTATTATTATTTCATAAGTTATGATATTATTTTTAACATGCTATGTTTACTTACAACATCATTATTATGTGTCCTAACTCATATATCCAAAAATTTTGCAGGAGAAAGAGCTCAGGCGGTTGCATGACAAGGTAGAAAATGAATAAACACGACGCGTGAAAGAAGAAAATGAAATTCATAAACAGCTGAAAAGACAACAAAAGGAGATTGAGAGAGACCAAAGAAAGGAAACTAAGTTATGAGTCAAGAAACCGTCTTGCTCTCCAAAAATAATCGCCAATGAAGAAGTCTTTCAGTCATTTGCACAGTTGTACATATATGATATCGAAAACGAAATTTAAAATAGAATGAATGCTGTGATGTTTGTATTTAAAATTAAATATGATGAAAAACACATGTATCCAAATATTATTCATTATGCTTATAATAATTTTATTTTTCAGGCAAAGAGATGGTGACAACAACTTGGATTGAAACAAATGTCAGACGAAAACAACGAGCTGGTCAAGTCATTTCGCATGGCTAGCAATAGGATGCAGAACCACGATCAGCCTAATGTCAGAATACGTCTAATAGGAAAAAGATACAATGATGCCAGACGCTATAATCTACCCGCAAGTTTTGAAGTTGCTACCTTGATTGTTGGAGATTTCGACCAATGTTTGAGTGACAAAGATATATTGGTTGACACTAAGAGTGGTCGTCTTCAACGGATAAATGAACTTAATGCTTCATATCTGGCATTACATTATCCATTATTGTTGCCTTATGGAGAAGATGGGTATAGGGAAAACATACCGTTTTCTGATCTAATAATGTGTATACAAGGATGTTTTTAATAATGTATGACTTAGTACCAATGAAGAATTTATGCTTACTTTATGAATGCCCTACGTATTATAACTTATTGATTAATGACCTTCATTTTTATAAATTTTTCTAAAATATGTACAGTCCGTGCATCGCACGGGTTACGTACTAGTGTACTTTAAACCATAGTCTTCAAACCCGGCCCGGGAATCGACCTGGACAGGTCTTCGGGTCACCGGGTCAATTCATGAACCGGATAATTAATATTAAAAATTTTAATATTATATATAGAGTATTTTGTCATATAAATATACATAAAAATAACAAAATTAAATATTTTGTATACAAAATTTGTACATTAAAATGTTAAAGATATGTATCTCATGATAAACATTTACTATATAAATATATATACATAGTTTTATTTTTGAAAAACAAAAAATCTTTTAAAAAATAGAAAAAAATGAAAAATTATATATAGGAGCCGGGTCAACCGGGTTGACTCTACCAGGTCAATGCCCCGAGTCGACAGGATCAAGGCCGGGTTGGCCGAGTTTTGACCGGGTCCTTTGTTGCCCGGTCTAAATAGCCCACCCGGACCAGTTCCAGCTCCGGGTCGATCGGGTCCCGGGTCAACCCGCTTGGCCAGTCCGGGTTGAAAAACTATGCTTTAAACCGTATTACATGTTAATCCAATATTTTTAATTTATAAGTATTATTTAATACTATTTACTCATGCATAGCACGGGAACCGTACTAGTTCTTATATATCATATCAACTTTAATTCACTATTCATTCACTCATATAATTTTAACTAACTATCATTTCCAATCATTTATCTCTTACTTTTATATCAAATCAATTTTAATTATTTTATTTTAAATTTTATTTTAATATATTCTTAAAATTCTACTAACAACTAACCATACCACCTTTTTCAGAATTAACTAGTTAACCAAAATAACTCATTTTGAACAAAATATTCCATAAACAATCAAGCTCAACAATTAGTCATCCGATAAAAATGTTAGTTAATTACATGATTAACCTGAAAAACAGAACATTGTGGACAATACGATATGATATATAATTTGTGTTCTTTTTAGTTATTATTAGTTTGTTTAATACAAATTCTTGTGTTAAACAATCTTAGACATCAACCTTTGAATCCCAGTTATCTTCAGGGCTCAAGAGATAAAATCAGCAGAGAAAGAGAAATTTATTACAGAAATTAATAGTTATACTATTTTAATACAGGGAAGAAAAAGTGTAATTTGCACGTTGAGAACTGAAACTCATGCAAAGAAATTTACACAAGCTGCTGATTTATTTCTGCTCTTCAGCAGCATACAATGATTTGATCTCCTCAACATCGTCATAGCTACCGAGGAATATCGGTGAACGCTCGTGTATCTTTGTAGGAATCAAATCAAGTGCCTGGAAAAAGAAAAAAAAAAACACTCATTTTTGAGCTTTTGGTAGAAAAAAAAAGTTTCATACATCAACGGACCTCTCTAAGAAGTTTTTTCAAGTTTGACACACTCTCAGACTATATTTGACTTAAAAAGTTAGTATTTCTATTTGAAAATTCAGAATCTTACCCTTTGCTTTCCGGTAAAAGCCTGTCCGCCTGCTTGTTCCATCAAAAACGACATGGGGAAAACTTCATAGAGGACCCTGTTGCACAAAATTACCCATTTACCCTTGTTTAAGTTCAGTTTTTCGAATTCATCGAGTTAACTTAAACCAATCATGCAAAAATCGACACCTCAATTTTCCATTCGGGCTCTTTTTATCAGCTGGATACAAAAATATGCCTCCATAAAGCAACGTACGGTGAACATCGGCTACCATGCTGATCAGAATCGAAAAATTCAAAAACGAAAAAACTCTTAATAATGCTCAAACATAATTTTTTTTTTGCCACAGTACATGATTATTTAATGTATATTACAAATTTTGATGGTGAAAATCAATTTCGAAACACATTAAGTTATACGACCATCTTTTTTCTTGTCCCGGTTGGTAGTATATTATATTATACTTGTGAGTTACATTTTATTAAACTCCTATCCATTTTTGAAATGTTAAAAATGAAAAGTATGAGCTATATATGGGCTACATATGTTCGAATAGTTATGTACCTTCCAATGTATCTTAATGATTTTGACGGTGATCCATCTTTCGGAAACTTGCATTTTTCCACGTACCTATTGTTCATTACAATAATAATAAGACTAGTACGTAACCCGTGCGATGCACGGGATGTAAAATTTGGAAGAATAATATAACCTCACGTGCATTAGGATCGAAATTGAAATCATTAAAATACATAGGAACATTGTTGAATCATAAAAGTTTGGTAACAATCATATATTATTAAAAACCTCCTTGTACACAACACAACATTATGAATTTGATTATTTGGTAACTCCTCATTATCACAAACTAATATTTTCAGAAGAGAGAAATCCTAAAAATCAAACTAATATTTTAGGATTTCTAGGATTTGTCTCTTTTTGGTGAACAAACTAATATTTTAGGATTGGTTATATGAATAAGGCTACCTGTTTTTTGTGTTCTTTTTATTCATTTTCATTCAAACAATCCGATGACTTGTATATGAAATCCGAATCTTAAGCCGAAATATTTAAAAAAAGAGTTTTTAAAAATTGAAAAGTCAAGGCAGTCAGTTCAGATTAGTTAATGGTCAAAGAATATTCACTCCTTGAAATAAAGACGTGTGCTATCATTAACCAAATATCCGGTTATTGATATAGAGTGGTTACCAAAAAATAGAATGCGATAACAACGCTTCATGGAAATATCAATGGGATAAGGTCATAACAGATCGCTATACATTTTAACGATAAAAGCTCAGATGGAATGATTTATGATAATTATGTCATAATTAATGAATTAATTAGATGTGTAAAAAGGATATAATTAATGAGAAGTGTGAAAAGGACATAATTAATGAGAAGCGTGAAAAAGACATAATTAATGAGAAGTGTGAAAGGGACATAATTAATGAGAAGTGTGAAAATGACAAAAACTTATCGGTTTTAGAAAATATTTAATGCAAATCCGACATTGACCATAATTTGACCTACTATTTTGGATAAATGTTAATTCTTATTATATAAGTATAGATATACGAAAAATACAACACAGCATGAATTGAAACTGCCATATTTAAGTATTACACATACTTTGCTGTTGGGCCATCCCAGTTCTTGGCATTTCCTTCATTAACAGAGTAAATTTTGCCCTTTTTCGGGATCTGTAACAACGAAAAAACATCCAGCATCATCTTGTTAATTCCCAGAAAGTTCGAAATTTTGTGTAATCTTTAAACCAAGCATTTATAGATGTTTTTGCCCAAATTTTTAACCTTAATATCTGGATGAGTCAGTATGAATTCTCCAAGAGATGGATCGAGAGTGAACCCATTAACTCCAGATCCAGTGCTCAACACAAACTGCAAAGACAAAAAACACACTCAACTAAAAAAAATTGTTCACCTTAGCATTTTAATAATGCATGTTCAAACATTATCGTGTTATTTTAGACCAGATAACAAAGCATACCGTGCAAGAGCTCCCGTACATGCAATAGCCTGCAGCTAACATGTTTTTCCCAGGCTGCAACACATCTTCCAGTTTCGGGTCGTGCCCATCAAAGATCGCATAAATGCCAAAGATCTGAAAAAAAAAAGGTGGGAAACAAATGACATCGCACATTATCATAAATTTTTGGAGATTTTTTCGGATACAATTGGAAAAAAAGCTTACAGTTCCAATTGAAACACCACAGTCGATATTGGAAGACCCGTCCAATGGGTCGAACACAACACAGTATCTACATGTTCGAAAACGAACATAACAAAATGAAGTATAATTAAAATACAAAAACATCGCTTTCCATACACACTCAACCAAAAAAGAAAAAACCCCTTATGAAGGGTTGTAACTTGTAAGCATCAAACGGGTTTTGTAATTTTGAAAGATTGCATGACTTCAAAGGTACATTAATATAGAGAATAAGAATCAAAGAGGGAAGAAAAAAAACATTTATTAATATAGAAAATAAGATTCAGAGAGGGGAAAAAACATACTTTCCACGCTTAGGTGGATCAACGAATGTCGCCTCTTCATCTTCTTCAGAAACAAGTATGCACTGAAAGTAACACGAAAACTTATATGCATAAAACACTATTCTTTAACCTCTAATGAAATATACTTTATATACCGAAAAATGTTTTCAGTGACATACAGTTCGGCCGCTGCTGACTAATGCCTTGACGAAAACTTCATTCGAGAGCACGTCTAGTTTCTTCTGCTCTTCGCCCTTCCATANCAAACAACAAATTTCAGCAAACCGTAATTTAATCTAACATGAATATACAAAGAGACATTGTAAAAATTACATTTACCTGCACATTGGTCTCGCCAGCAAGTCCTATAAGTTTAGCCAGACCAGCCTGCAAACCACCAAGTTGATGCTTAAAATTATAAATACATAAACACGATATGCTGTGAATCAACAATTTTGATTTTCTAGTGACAAATTCACAGAGCACAATCAGCTAGCCACCTTTTCACTGTGGTCCACTAACCAGCTCAAATAATACATCTTTAAATAAGAGTGGCTGAACTAATCCTGTCACTCTCAAGAAACAACTTTTTGCAACAAAACAAAGGATTCCTCAAGCTATAATCCCAAATGTTACTCAAATCATCAATCTTTTTTTCCACATGGAACCACAAAACACCAATATTTATTCCACATCCTTTAAATTATACATCAACCCAAAACAAATTCTCAAAGAAGAACACCATTTCTAGACTCGAGGGCCACCAAGGACAACATTAATTTAAACAAAATAAACTACGATCAATAAATATTAAAAAACAAAAAAAAAACAAAAAAAATCGACCTTGTTAACAGCAGAGCAAACATCAACCCACAACAAATTCTCAATGAAAAAACCATTTCAATACTCGAGGGTCACAACGAACAACGTTAATTTAAAGAGAAAACCAACTACGGTCAAGAAATACTCAAAAAATCCAACCTTGTTAACAGCAGAGCAAACGAACTTGCACCCAAGGACGATGTGATTGAGCAAAATCGTGAAATCCCCACGCGACTCGGGGTGCTTTGACTGCTCGTTCAGCACGTGACGCGTTATCGTCATCAAATCCGTCCGGTGCGCATCCGCCGCGTGATCCATCGCCGCTAAAACCACCTCGCGTCTCACAACACAGTGTATCTGTGCGTATCTATTGACCCAAAACCCTTCTGTTAATTTCCCTATATTTTGACTATTTTCAAGAACCCATATAGGGCTCGGTCTATATATACACATCCAATTTTTTTATGTGTGCCCATGTGTAAAAACGAAAATCAATTACGCACAGGCGTGTGTGGATAGGGATGGGATGAGGGAGCAGTTGAGGAAAAAATGGTGCCCATATAATTTCTCATTATTTTTTTTTCCAATTTTCGTTTTATATGAAGATAATTTGAGCTGGGTCTGTGTTGATTCTTGTGACTGAGTAAAATGTTGATTTGTTCGTAGTCTATCAACAATGGTGTGTGTGGTTTAGGATTGGTGTTTTGGTTTGTTTGGGATTGTAGGTCGGCGGTTAGAAGGGAGTTTTCTCATGTCTGGTTATTTGGGTTTTGTCAGGATGATGACAATATTGATTGTGATGGGAAATTTATGAAAATGGGACCAAAAGTGTGAATTGCTGGACTAGTATGAGTCCATGGGTATGGACTATGGAAGGGCTAATTTGCAAATTTATCCTTCATGGGATAATTATTATTATTATTATTTTCTTTCACTATTCAACTCAAAATATAATGTAAATTTAATTCAATTTAACTCTTTTAAATATATTAAATTATCAATATAATTAAATAATAATAGTTAACCAGTTTTTTACATCATTAATAAAGAGTTTGAGATCGAGCTCGAGCTTGACTCGTTTATCATTAATAAAGAGCCGAGTTCGAGCGTTAACGAGCCGATTTAAGCTTTAACGAGATGAACTATAGAAAATTATATAAAACTTATCTTTTCGAGTCTTGTCGTGTCCTATCAATCCGAGTCGAACTCCTCATTAACCAAACGAGTTTTAAATGAGTTTGAGTTTTGAATAAGCTCAAACTCGACTCATTTATCACACGAGTCGAGTTGAACTCAAATCTTAACTACCCAAACTCGAGCCGAGAAAGCTTGTTTAATTAGTTTTACTTGTACATCCCATCCAAATTGCACGTTTTTTTATCATTTTGAGTTTTGACCCCTTCGTGGACATATTTGTCATTTCTGAAGAAGCCCACATAACGGTACAACTCACCTAATACGTCACCGTATCGCCCCTCCCACTGCCCACCTGAAAATTTTCCGGCGATTTTACGACTCTCATACACTTTTTCTTGATTCTCTGTATCAGATATTTTGTCCACCAAAATCCACATATTTGTCATGCTTTTTTGAATCCACAATAGCCCTTCAAACAATTTTTGAATCGACTCTGTAAATATTACAGCACACAGGCTGTACAGATTATAGTTAATTAGATTCTTCTCAGAGACCCTAATGTTTCCAATATAAAAGATTGAGGTTTGGATTTTTTTTTGGTACTCTTAAATCAAACCCTCAATTTCCGAAGGCAGATTTCAATCATTTCTCAATCGATGTCGATGGTGGATCAAGAAGCGGAGGACTTGAAAATGGCGCTGAAACTCAGCATGCAGGACCGCGAGTCGCCGGAGCTGAAGAGGGGCGAGTCGCGGGAGGCTTTCGTCGACGGAGGGGAGGCGCCGCCGGTGAAAGAGGAGTTGATGGAGGTGGAGAGCCGCCGGACGCAGCGGGAGTTAATGGCCGCCGCTGCGGAGAAGCGGATGGCTGAGGTGAAGAGCGTCAGGAATTCGAAGAATGCGGAGAATGAGGGTTTAGAGGGTGTTAAGGAAGGTGCTGACAACAGCGGGAAGTCTGAGGTGGAGTTGTCCATGGCGGAGGCCGAGAAGCTTTTCCAGATGATTTTTGGGGAAAGGGTTTGTGAAAATGTGCTCGGACAATGGAGCAATCAGGGCATTAGGTAAAACTTTTTTTTTTTTTTTCCCTTCTTTCTTTCTTTCAATTGGGTTGAACATTTGAATCTTGCTATTCACATGTCAGACGGTTGATAGATGCCTAATTTTTTGTAAATCTTATTCCTTGGTTTGTAATTAGATAAGCAGGTAATGAAATTTTGAGTGAAATGCAATGAGGTCATTAAAAGCAAAGTAGATGAATTGTGCATGGGTTCGACTCAACGCATACACGACTTTATCATGCATTGCAATCTGATTGTAGTATCCCCAGTCATGTTAGGTTTCATAGATTTGGTGTGCACGGTTTTGTTAGCAAATAATATCTTGTCCATTAATTATTTTCTGTCCATTAATTATTTTCTAAAGCTGCAAACTATCTTTACAGGTTTAGCGATGATCCAGAAACATCGATGGGCTTGGTACAGCATGAAGGAGGACCCTGTGGTGTATTAGCAGCCATACAGGTAATGGTTTCATGCCCATATATGTCCTGCTCCGATCTTAATATAACTTATAATGTCGATAACTCCGATGTTCTTTTATGCCAACCATCGTTGAGTTAGTGTTGCATATTTATTAGTTTCTATGTACTGAAGGACCCAAGAAGCTATGTGATTCACGTTTAAATGAGCTCGCGTAAGAATAGTCTCCACATAATTGGGATATCCAATGTCCTTTGTCTTTCTTAGTCCATGAATTGTCATTATTCTTCTAATACTTGATTCTGGAGTAAATTTTTGGTTTCTCTTGGAACTTTGATAGTACTACATGGATTCAATTTGAAAATATTTGTAAATCTTGTGATTCTTCATGCCATTTCAGTTTCATGGTGCATTGACTAAGCTGACTACCTGATAGTATTTGTTTGCAAACTTCGGTAGATTTCCCCGTACGGTTTTGTGCTTGAAGATGTAATCCCGCTTGGCTTTATTGCAAGGCTCTAAAAAAGCTCAGGAAAATATGTATTGTGTTTGATTGGTTCGTTGAACCTGCAGTTACACAGAGTTATTTGAGCTGTGTATCAGTAAATCTTAGAGTGCCTCAGCAGATAAGCTTGAAACATACGTAAAACATGGTTGACCTATATCTTTTGCATGAGAACGTGAAACTTTCACTTTCCTTCCACCTTATAGTCCCATACAAATATATATATGATGCAGTGTTTGTTTTGCTTATGATTTAATCTCTTGGCAACGCAGGGTTTTGTACTCAAAGACCTTCTCTTTTCTCCAGAGGAGTCTAAAAATCCCGTGCCTAATGATCTATCAAATGTGGCTACGACAAAGTTGTCCAAGAATGACTCTATAGGATCAGATATATTCTCGTCTCTTTCGGAGGAAAAGAAGTCACGGTAATTTATTTTCTAGATTACATCTTAATTCCTATTAACAATAATATCTCATTTTTACTTATTCAATAGACTGTACGCATTGATGGAATCCACGTAGGAGATTCCCATATGTCTTTTGTGCTAATTATTTCTAAATATCGTTAGTCTTATTTGTAATGTGACTAATTCATATCCATTACCCTGAATGACTCCGCGGACCAATTTATATTATGTTATTTAAAGTATGAATGAAAAAGGTTATCTCTGCATCATTGTTGTTCTCTGGATACTGATATTAATACTCTTCTGATCTTGACTTGTCCATATTCAATGTTTGATAGTTTTTCTTGTTATTACTAAGTAATTTCTTCTTCAAACAGAGCCTTGGTGAGGAGTATGAGTGATGTACTCTTTCTATGTGGAAGTAATGAAGCAGCTGCTGTAGCATATTTGAATATTCCTTTGTCTGAATTTTCGGAGTCTGCAAATGGGCCATCAGATGAGGCGAGTTCTGTTATTTTCCCATTCCCAGGGTCTACATTTATCTGCAGTCTCTTATATCATCTTCATGTAAATCTTTTTGTTATTATAGTGGTTGCCATAAAATGGTGTGGATATATTATTTTGGAAGCCAGATGAATTGAGAATTATCATATCTTAGCCAACAGCTTAGTTAAGTACCTCATCTCACAATCTATTTGCATCTTGTTATACAGGTCATTTTGAAGGCACTTGAAGGTGTTTCAGTCGAAACTGGATCCGACTTGCAGAAGATTCTAAGAGTCTATACATGCACATCTCGTTCAAGTTTGATCCAGAAGCTTGAAGAATTGCTTCCTGTTTTCAGAAGCCGCATGGGAGCATTGCTCTTTCTGATATCTGCATTGTTGTCTCGAGGACTGGTATACTATTCTACTACATGGACTCAAATCAAATATGCATGTATATGAAACAAAATCTTTGCTTAGGAATATTCAGTCGATCCTTGGGTGTGTTTGTATATAAAATAACTCGATCCATATTCAATCTATACTCGAAATCTCACTCGATTTTAACTTAATCCCACAATCATCAATATTATAAATATAATTTAATAATATCAATCATTCTTACATATCACATCAACTTTAATTCACTTTTCATCCACTCACATAATTTTAACTAACCATCACTTCACATCACCTCTCTCCTACTTTTACATCACATCAACTTTAATTATTTTATTTTAAATATTGAGAAATGCTATAGGTACATAATACTGTACATAGAGGTGTACATAACATTCACATCAAGTGGGTCCTACCAAAAATAAAAAAATAAGTGGACTCCCACTCCATGTGAGTGTTATGTACACCTCTATGTAATTTATTATGTAATTGTAGCATTTTTCTTATTTTAATATAAACTCAAAATTCCACTAAACAACTTACCATACCAAATTTTTCAAAATTAACCATGGTTAACCAAAAAAAAACTCATTTTCAGCGGATATATTTATATGTCAAATTTTGTGTTTTTCAAGCATTTTAATTATGATCGATGCATCATATACTAATGCAGCTTAATTATGGGTCAGGATGCTGTTCTAGAGGACATGGATGACCCAACTCAACCTTTAGTCACAGCTCCTTTTGGGCATGCTTCCCAGGTAATGAACAGTTTATGTATATAGTCTTCACTCTCTGTGTATATATATGTGTGTGTGTAATATCTGAAATTTTCCTGTTAAATAGGAAATAGTGAACCTACTACTCTCCGGAAAAGCAGTCGCCAATGTGTTCGACGGGAGTATCGACCTCGGCGAGGGCATGTTCGTAAAAGGCATCTCGACTCCAGTCGAGGTCGGTTTCCTCACCCTACTCGAGTCCCTCAACTACTGCAAAGTCGGCCAAAACCTCAAATCCCCAAAACGCCCCATATGGGTAGTCGGGAGCGAATCCCACTACACGGTCCTTTTCGCGCCCGACTCCCGAGTCCAAGACGAGAACGAGCTCGAGCAACGCGAGTCCGAGATTCGACATGCCTTCGACTCCCATGACTCGAGCGGAGGCGGCGGGTTCGTGAGCTCCGAGGGGTTCCGACACGTCATCACCGGGACGGGCATCCGTTTCCCGCCCGAGAAAGTCGAGAGCCTCTGCAGTTCGGATTTCGTGGTGTGGAGTGATTTTTGGCGGGCGATTCTGGAATTGGACCGGAGTTTGGGGGGAATGAAGGACGATTCGGATGGGTCGACTGGGGAGAAGGTTTTCGATCTCTATCATTTTAATGGAATTGCGAAATCGGTTTTGGGTGGTGGGAATGAAGCGGGTCCTGTACTTCAGAGGCCCACGCTTGTTAAAGTGAGGGTTTCGGTTCCTCCGAGGTGGGCCCCAGAGGAGCTTGTGGTGGCTGGGCCGCGTGGGCCGGATGTTGATGACTTGAACGTGATAGACAACTCGATCCGGTTGGCTGAGGGCCCGATTGCTGCTCCGGGGCCCGTTGGTCAGCATGGGCCGTTGGTGGATTGCATTNCTGTAGATTTTTCTGTATAAATAGCGTAAGCATGTGTGTAAGCAACTAAGCATACACATAACCATCAACTTCAATTTTTTCACCCAACACAACTTTTCTGTTCTCTATTCTTCCTACTTTTTGTCAAATTGGGTACCCATTTACCCATTTGAGCATTTAATTTTAACGATCGAATGACATCCAATCCAAGGCAAAACATCAGAAAATCAGCCCAATTTGATAAATACACCAAATTGTTCAAGAACACTAAAAGTTCAACATGGGGAAACAACTAAAAATCGATCCATCTCCCAAACTAATAATACATGGAATTAACGAAGTCGATAATTTAGTTGGCCTTATAGGAATACGGGTGGATTACTGAATCACAGCAAAAACTTTCTTAAAAACTACTTCCATCTTTGTGCCAAGGCTACGTCAAATACTCAAATATGACAAAAATCATTTATGCAAAACATCTACCTCATATTTTTTTATTTAATTTATTTATTTGGGTGTTGAGTGTCCTCGTCTATTAGTAACAATGTCTTAAAAGACGTATAAATGACTCACATTTTGGTTCGTGTATTGCATAACATAAATAGCGTAGCGTATTGTATAAACTGTTTAGGCATAAAAAGATTATTTTAAAATGATGTTATATATGTTAATATATTACTAAACCAATAATAGAAGTCATATAAAACTGTTTCATTTAAAATAATTAAATTTAATGTTATTCCTTACAAATATTTGATATAAATGTCATAATATGACTATGAAACAGTAAACATTATAATTTTATTTAATTTAAACTATCAAATCACCTGTATAAAGTATTAATGTAATCTAAAAAATTAATTGAAAAGTAACATCAAATATTTCAATCTTTTATTATTGTTTGAAAACATGAGTTAAATATAATAGAAAAAAAATATTTTTGATCATTTAATTTTTCTGACACTTTAGCGTGAAAACAGTGCAAAAGAGCGTGCAACATAATCATACAGCGTAATCTTTTTATGAGGCATAAAACAAAATTATAAACACCGTCACATTTTTATTTTTATTCTATTTTAAGCTATAGCGCCCTTTAAAAGCACACTATACCTATACGCTTTTTGAAACACTTGACTGCAAATCAATTCCATTTGTTTTATTTTTTTAAAGACACTTGACTGCAGAGGTAATTTTTTCTTTTTCAAAGTATACTTATGAAAGCGAATCCGCTTCTTTTTGTCTGTTTTATCGGCCCATTATTGTTTTCTTTCTGTCTGTGTTGTGTACTTGTGTTTAGGAATGATGAATGAGTTACTGCCAAAAGAATAAAAAAATGTTTTAGTGCGCACATGTTATTAACTTGGTATCAAATACACGGGAATCCTATGAATTGATATGTATTTTTCAGTTCTTACAAATAATCTAAAAAATAGAAAATTACAATCGAACTGACAAATAAATTAAAACTTAAAAAATAAAACAAAACGGAAAGATTTTAGCCGAGGCGAGTAAAACTCTTTCCGCAAGAAGAATACGCCCCGTGTGGCAGCTAACGGTTTAGGCGTAACTTCCCCAAAGATACAATGGCAAACGTCTCTAAATCTGTAGCACACCAGATTTAAGAGCTCCGGCGAACTGGAACGGAGTCGATAATTGAGCACTTAAAATAAGAATAAAAATATCACTCTTTTGTTATTTCGATAACAAATAAATATTTCTATATTTTTCCCTCTAATATTTTTATCCCTCCAAAATTGATTTTATGCCTCTAATTTTCCTTTCCCCCTTTCTTTCTTTCCTTTTCTCTTTCTTTTCTTCTGTATTCTTTCTCCTCTGCCAAGTATCCCTATTTATAGGGTGAGAAGGCCAACAAATTGCTAAAAAAAAAAATATTTTTTTTTTATTTTATCTTAACAATTGAGGCAGCTCATCCGCACCTACTTAACACCTTCCCTTTATATTTTTTTTATTATTATTATTATTTTTTAATTGCAATTGGGGCGGCTGCATGTGGCACCGCCCCTACACTTTTCTCCAACAATCCCCCAAAAAAGTGTAGATTAAATATATATAGGCTATTGTGCTCAACCCTCACAAAACTCTATTGCATCAGAAAAGGTAGTTTTTGGCTTTGAACCTTTCGTAGTAAACATCATCGGATGCACTGGCGACCTAGTGGACATAATGCCTTGAACTATTCATCCATAGTGTACACCTAGACAATGATATTCACACAATAGAATCTTAACTCCATTCCGTTCTATCGTTGTGTCCGTTTTGGCCATGGACATCACTTTGGATTCATAAGTGTTTACGTTTGAAGCGGCCCACACTTCACACTTATATAGGTGACCTCCCTATCAAGAGTATTCTATATTACTCCACCTTTACAAGGTTAGGGATTCATTAAAAGTCCACATGACTTACCCTCACCACAATCAACAGGTCATCTTGCACTTGGAGTGCTCAAGGAAATAGCTTTGGACATTCATATGTTTCAAGTGCTCAACTGAATTTTCATAGCTTAGTTTTCCCTTTGAACCAAGTTCGTGGGATCTCCACTTAGCATGGTAGGGTTACCACTATGATCATTCTTAAAATTGTGGATTTTTAAGCTCATTCCCTCTAGCAAAACTACCAATTGATCTCTATTCAATCCTTTCGTCAAAGGATCAGCCAAATTTTCCTTAGACTTCACATAGTCAATGGAAATAACACGATTTGTGATCAATTGACGTACGGTATTATGTCTACGACGAATATGTCTAGACTTACCATTATACAAGTTGCTTTGCGCCCTACCTATAGCAGCTTGACTATCACAGTGAATCATCACAGGCGGCAAAGTCTTATCCCAACATGGAATATCGGATAAAAAATTTCTAACCCACTCGGCTTCTTCACCAGCTTTATCTAAAGCTATGAAATCCGATTCCATCGTTGACCGAGCTATACATGTTTGTTTTGTGGATTTCCACGAAACTGCACCTCCTCCAATACAGAATACATATCCGCTAGTGGAGCGAGAATCTCTCGAATCTGATATCCAGCTTGCATCAGAGTACCCTTCAAGTACGGCTGGATATCTCAAGTATTTTAGCCCGTATTCAAGGGTGTACCTCAAGTACTTAAGTACCCTTCTCAAAGCATTCCAGTGTTCATGACTGGGATTGCTCGTAAATCTGCTCAACTTATTCACCGGGTAGGCCAAGTCTGGTCGTGTACAATTCGTCAAGTACATCAGACTCCCCATTATCCGTGAATAGTCCAACTGAGCCACTGGTTGACCTTTATTGGCTACCAGATTTATACTATGATCAAGGGGTGTCTTACACATACGCCTAGACTGTGCACCGTCATAGGCATCAAATTTCTTGAGCACTTTCTCTACATAATGAGATTGTGACAAGACAATTCCATCATGGTCCTGATAATTCTTATTCCAAGAATAACATCAGCCAAACCCATATCTTTCATGTCGAAATTTCTTTTCAACATTCCTTTCGTATCCATGATCACTTCATGGCTACTCCCCATGATCAACATATCGTCTACATACAGACATACAATCACAAATGTATTTGATGTACCCTTGAAATAAACACATTTATCACATTCGTTGATTTTGAAACCATTTGACAACATCACGTCATCAAATTTCAAATGCCATTGTTTCGGAGCTTGTTTCAGTCCGTACAAGGATTTTATCAATCTACACACCTTTCTCTCTTGTTCAGGTGCAACAAACCCTTCAGGTTGTTCCATGTATATTTCTTCTTCCAATTCACCATTTAAAAATGCTGTCTTGACATCCATTTGGTGAATCTCAAGATTGTGCAAAACAGCAATCGGGAGAAGCACTCTTATCGACGCTAAACGCGTAACTGGTGAATAGATATCAAAGAAATCATACCCTTCTTTTTGTTTAAAGCCTTTGACCACCAAACGTGCTTTAAACTTATCAATCGATCCATCAGCTTTATATTTCTTCTTTAGGATCCACTTGCGTCCTAAAGGTTTACAACCATCAGGGAGATCAACCAACTCCCAAGTATGGTTCTGCATAATGGACTCGATTTCGCTATTTACAGCTTCTTCCCAGAATGGTCCATCTGGGCTGGACAGAGCTTCCTTAAGGGAACTCGGTTCATCGTCCAACATGTACGTAATAAAATCAGGTCCAAACGTTTTTGCCGTTTTTACCCTTTTACTACGTCTCGGTTCTTCAGCAGTACCCTCTGGTACAGAACCACTAGCAGTTTCATATGTTCGTTTATTAGAACTAGGTTCTGCTCTTTCCTTTAGAGGAAAAATATTCTCGAAGAATATAGCATTCCTCGACTCAATCGTAGTACCAACAGATACCTCTGGATTTTCTGAATTTTGAACCAGATATCTATATGTTGTACTATTGTACGCATATCCAATAAATATACAATCGACCGGCTTTTCATTATCAACGGTTACACGGTTCATGGCCATTACATTCATTTTGAACATACCCTTGTCGAGATAACTACGTTCAAGGAAAGTTCCAAACTTGCTAAGAACAAACTTCTTAGCATCAAATACCAGCCTAAATCCATGCTCAACAAGAAGAGATCCGGAGAACAAATTCTTGCGGATGTCTGGGAAAATGCAGAACATCCTTAAACTTCAACTCCTTTCCAGAAGTCAGCTTCAGCACCACAGTGCCCACTCCAGCCACATCAGCCGTGGCTGAGTTTGCCATGTAAAGTTTCCGACTCTTAGCAGAAGTGTATTCAGAGAACACCTCCTTATCGGAACACACATGACGAGTGGCACCAGTATCGATGTACTACTCCCTTGGGTTATCCACCATATTGGCTTCAAACACCACTGCCGACATATCAAAGTCGGTCAGTTCACCCGGCACAGGGCCGTGTTCAGCCACAAGGGCACTAAGTTGCCCTTTCTTTGGCCCAACCTTCTTAGGCCTCTTGCAGTCTTTTGCCATATGGTTTGGCTTTCCACACTTGTAGCAAGTTCCAGTAAACCTCCAAACTTTAGATGGCTGCTTCCCTTTGTCAAAGGACTTCCTCTTGCTCGAGTGGCCTTGCTCCAGCAAGTTAGCACGAGCCTCTATCATCGGAGTCTTCGCCGATGAATTACGGTTGTCCTCCTCAATACAAAGACGAACAACCAGGTCTTCAAGACTCATCTCCTTCCTCTTATGTTTGAGGTAGTTCTTGAAGTCTTTCCAACCCGGCGGTAGCTTTTCAATCACAGCCGCAACTTGGAATGACTCGCTCAGAGACATTCCTTCAGCATGGATATCGTGCAAGATAAGTTGAAACTCTTGCACTTGGGACACGACGGTCTTAGAGTCGACCATCTTGAAGTCAAGAAACTTGCCGACAACGAATTTCTTCGCCCCGGCATCCTCAGTCTTGTACTTCTTCTCTAAAGCAGCCCAAAGCTCTTTGGCAGAACCAACCGAGCTGTACACATTGTACAAATCATTACTAAGTCCGTTCAGGACATAGTTACGGCAAAGGTATCACCTTGCCCCCAAGCTTCTTACGCAGTGCGTAGTTCAACATTGGTCTCATTTTCAGCAATAACCGGGGGGTCGTCCTTCAGGTATTTCACCAAACCCAAAGTGGTCTGGTAAAAATGCATCTTTTGTTGCCACCTTTTAAAATCAAGCCCATTGAATATTTCGGACTTCTCAGCAGTAGAGACATGGACAGCAGGTACATGATTGATCGGATGCTGAGTGTTGGAACCATTTCCAGTGGAAGCCATCAGTCCAGTAGGTTGAGATATTCTTCTTGCGATTGTTATTAACTGGGTATCAAATACACGTGAATCCTACGAACTGATATGTATTTTTCAGTTCTTACAAATAATCTAAAAAATAGAAAATTACAATCGAACTGAAAAATAAATTACACTGAAAAATAAATTAAAACTTAAAAAATAAAACAAAACGGAAAGATTTTAGCCGAGGCGAGTAAAACTCTTTCCGCAAGAAGAATACGCCCCGTGTGGCAGCTAACGGTTTAGGCGTAACTTCCTCAAAGATACAACGGCAAACATCTCTAAATCTGTAGCACACCAGATTTAAGAGCTCCGGCGAACTGGAACGGAGTCGATAATTGAGCACTTAAAATAGGAATAAAAATATCACTCTTTTGTTATTTCGATAACAAATAAATATTTCTATATTTTTCCCTCTGATATTTTTATCCCTCCAAAATTATTTTTATGCCTCTAATTTACCTTTCCCTCTTTCTTTTTTTCCTTTTCTCTTTCTTTTCTTCTGTATTCTTTCTCCTCTGCTAAGTATTCCCTATTTATAGGGTGAGAAGGCCAACAAATTGCTAAAAAAAAAATATATATTTTTTTTATTTTATCTTAATANTTTTTTTTTTTTAATTACAATTGGGGCGGCTGCATGTGGCACCGCCCCTACACTTTTCTCCAACAGCACATTGTACTGCAAAAATTCCACCTGGACTGATTAATGGATACTAGTCCTATGCCCATACTTTTGAGTTTGACTTGATCCCAATTAATTCTATTTTATTGCACTATAATTATCAAAGGATAAAAATTCCACAGTCATTATACAAGTCGATCATCATTTATTTATTTTTTTTAAATGAAAAATCTTGTCTTGTACGAGAAGCTTCAGCCTCGGTGACAATGATGGTATGACATTTGCAGCTTCTGATGTTATAAAATATAATAGTTTGTTTATTTTATCTTTTTAGAGTATTACAATATGAATTGAAGGTGTGTATAATAGTTGAAAAAATATCAAAAAATATCCTGACTAATTATTAGGTCTGCCTATACAAATGTAAGATCAATTCATCCTAAAATTAGAAGGGTGTTAGAGTCGAAATCTCGCGTTAGAGAAAAAAAACATTATATGTATATATATTATTAAAAATTCTATAAATATTTATTAAAAGTAAAAATTAAAAACAAAAACTGTATTTTTTATGAAAAAGTATGATGGTTCCTACCGGTAGTTTAGCAGTCTAAAAACAATATTTGTGTTAACATTAATTAGACTTCACAATTTACCAACTTTTTCTTCAGGTTTAATTTAATTATTCCCCTGTTAGACTCCACAACCCTTTCCAAATCAAATCAAATCACTTTTTACATAGAATCATATTCCCATTAGTGGGGGTGTTCTTATGTTCCATGCCCATCATCAGGTCGAACCAATTAACTAAATATGCCAGTATTCTAATTGTTATAAATTAAAACCATGTACCATTTTTCCATTGATGTGTACATGAGAACACACAAAAGAATCATAAATATTCATAATTGNAAAAAAAGTATTCATTGCAATTTTTTTTGCAAGATATGAAGAGCTGCAAAATGATCATTAACAAACATATGCCTGTAATTGCCATGATATCCACACAATTCATATATGCAGCCATGTTTTTGCTTTCGAAAGCAGCTATTTCTTCCGGCATGAAACCTTCCATTTTTGTCGCCTATCGACAGGCCTTGGCTGCACTTGTCCTAGCTCCATTTGCTTATTATGTCGACAGGTATAATTTCACAAACAATTTTAGTTCGTTTATTTTACTCCATTTTTAAAATTTTATCCTTTTTTTTTTTTGTTGGTGTTCGTGAATCGTGATGCAGGACAAGGTCGCATCATCGTTTGAGCTTCTATTTACTGATCAAGATTTTCATTGTTTGCTCTTGTGGGTATGCAAAATTTGATTTCATTTTTTTTATATAGTTAGGCTCAAGTGTAGAGATAATAATAATCTCAATAACAATTTGTCTTTTGTAATGTTATTATAAATTGAGCTTATGAACATGCATATGTGCTATTTTTCAGGATGACCATGTCATTGAACTTACACTATGCTGCCTTGAACTATATCTCTGCAACTTTTGCTACGGCAGTCACGAACACGATTCCTGCTATGGTTTTCATTATAGCAGTTTCGTCGAGGTATAATAATTATGTACACATATGATGTATTGATACATATTCCGAGACTAATCATTATTAGATGTATTTGTTTATAATTGTGAATAACTCCCCTTAAGGGAATTAATTATTTGTTAACTCTATAGCAAAACCCGTAATATCATCCTTTTATAAAACATATGGCTAGATCACAATAATAACAAAAAAATGAGAATAAATGAATGTATGCACATAGTAAAATTATCATAACATGAAATTTATTATTACTACCTCATATTTTTCTAAATGTCATTTTGGCTTTATCAACAATTAACCAAATAAATGACGTTTTGGATCTTTTGTATATATTTTTTCATTATTACTCTCATCTGGCTAATAAATACACTACGTCTTTTCATATTCACTCTTCTATCTTTTGTCAAAACATCCATCACTATCCTCATTAATGAAGGTTATTATTGGTAAAAAAAGATTTTTAATTACTGTACACCTTTTCAAAACCACATTTATTAAAAATAGGAGGGAGTATTTTTTTTATTCCTTTTACTAATACCCTTGATGAGGTTTATTTGAGCATGTAAAAAATCCTTAATTTGTGCACGATGTAGGATTGAAAACCTAGCAATAAGGGAGAAACATGGATGGGCCAAAATATTGGGCTCAGTTCTCGGCATCTCAGGAGCTATGATATTCACATTCTATAAAGGCCAACACCTATACTCTGGGTCCAATAACGAGGCCCACAATCTAATTGCAAAGAACTACTCAAAAGAAGAATGGATCAAAGGCTCCCTTCTCTTGTTAGGTGCAAACTTGACATGGTCCATTTGGCTTGTCATGCAGGTCTAATTTCGGTCCCAAAAACTACTTTTTTTTTTTTTTCTTTTTTACATAATTTATTATTTGTTTGTTTATTGTATTTTGATTAATTTATATTATTTCAAATTAAATTTTGAATTTTTAGGCTCCAATTTTGAAAGAGTATCCTGCAAAAGTGAGGCTTACAACTTTACAGTGTGGCTTCAGTTGCTTAGTGTCAGCAATGTATGGGGCAATTAAGGAAAGAGATATATCATCTTGGAAGCTTGGTTGGAATATAAATCTCTTGTCCGTGGCTTATTCTGTATGTATATCTAATAGCTCTTGTCCTAAAATATCATTAAGTTTTAGATGTGATTATACCAAAAATAACATGCTAGCAATATAAGCATGTCTATTTGGATATTGATTAAAGGTAAATTTCAGGGCATTGTTGTGTCCGCCATAAATTATTCAATGCAAGTTTGGGTTGTGGAGAAAAAAGGCCCAGTATTCACTGCAATATTCAGCCCATTAGCACTCGTGTTGACGGCCCTCTTCTCAGCTATTCTCTTTCATGAATCACTCTACAGGGGAAGGTCAAGGCCCAATATTTTATTTAATTTTTTCCCTTAATGAAGTTCTCTTATTATTCTCGATAAATGAGAATATATAATTAATTTATTTATTTTTACTGAAGATGAGATCATACTTAATTTGTAGTGTTTTGGGATGTGCAATGCTGGTGACTGGGCTTTATGCTTTCTTATGGGGTAAGAACACAGAGGTCCAACTTGAAGCCCAACAACAAATGAACCCATCAAAAAAAGAGGAAGCACATTTGGAGTCCATAATTAGCTCCAAATCAACCACCGATAGTAGTTCTTTAACATAGCCCGAATAATTGACCGCTCTCCACTGCAAAGCCCAAAAGCCATTTTGGTTGAAGAGCTTAAAATGCTCGTACATTATAACTTCTTGACTAATGCACGATGCAATAATTACAAATTGGATGTATTGAAGCAATAAAGGAATATTAATTAATATAAAATAGTTTTAAATAGTGATAACTATTATTTTTTATTTTATAATATATAATACTTGCTTCAGTCTAACGTCTATTTGTTTTACAAGAGAGAAAGAGCGAATTTACCTTTATCTAGGAGGAAAAGTCACTCTCCGAATCATATACTTCGGCGAGATCAGGGAATTCAGTAGTGTTCCGCAGTTCCGCGAAGAGTGGGCGAAGAGTTTCTACCCTTCTCATTGGGTCCTCAAAGTCTCTCTTACACACATGTCCAAACCATCTTAATCGTGAAAATTGAGGATTTGGCAGAGAATTAAGAAAGCCAAAAAGAAAAATAACACATGCGGGGGGAAGCCGCACTCCCACACAAGGAAGATAATTTTATTCTCTCTTACATTTTTAATTTTTATTTATTAGTACGTTACTTTAAGATTTTTATCCAGTTTGAGGGGATATTTGAACGCTAATTTCAATTTTTCTATAAATTAAATGACGTATTTTTTTTGTTGATTAATTAAGAGGTCGTATTTATTTTGTCGATGAGTTTATTCACGTTACTTGTGTATAATGTTTATGAATTATGAATGTTTGATTTAGTTCGGCCGAGTACATTAAATATTCATTATTTTATTTGATATAGATGAGGCTTTAATCCGTAACTGTTATTTTTCTTGTTTCGTTAGTAGTAAACTAGAGGTCGTGCATCTCTAGGGTAGCGTAAACATAAGTTAAATGGTTCGATATTTCGCATTCGTTACTTAGACTAATCTATTTTTCTAAGAATTAATGCTTCTAGTGTATTAAACATAGAAACCTTGTTCTAGGTTGTCCACTCGTTGGGTTTAGTCAAAGAATTTATTTCGACTAAATATTCAGTAAGGACAAATTCAGTTAACAGAGCTTGTTGTTAGTTAGAGTTTGTAATTCATTAGTAATTTAAAGAGGATGTTGAATTAATTAACGATAAATTTAGATTGAGTGATAACTGAACAAAAAACTAGACTTCTCTGAGTTCATTTGATTTTTTTTTTCTTTTGTTATTTTTATTTATAAAATCTACCCCCCATTTTTATTGCTTTATTAGTTTTAATTCAATTAGTACAAGAACTATCACAATTTAATTCATACTTCTCGTAGGATAGACCCTTACTTGCCACTAATCAGTGGAGGTTTGTTGAGGAAACTTGATAAATTTATATTGTACCATTTTACATTGATGTGTACACGAGAACACAAAGAATCATAAATTTTCTTAATTAAAAAAAGGCAATTATTGCAATTATTTGCAAGATGAAGAGCTGCAAAATGATCATGAACAAACACATGCCTGTAATTGCCATGATATCCACACAATTCATATATGCAGCCATGTTTTTGTTGTCCAAAGCAGCTATTTCTTTCGGAATGAAACCTTCCGTTTTTGTCGCCTATCGACAGGCCCTGGCTGCACTTGTCCTAGCTCCTTTTGCTTATTATGTCGACAGCTTGTTGAAAACTAATTTAGTTCCTTTTGATTTTTTGTTTTTAAGAAAGAAAACGGGAAATTTCAGGTCGATCCAATTTTAATTTTTATCTTTCTTTTTTGTTGGTGTTCGTGATTCTGGACAAGGTCGCATCGTCTGAGCTTCTATTTACTGATCAAGATTTTCATTGTTTGCTCCTGTGGGTATGCAAAATTTGATTTCGTTTATATATATATATATATATATATATATATATATATATATATATAG